CTGTGTGATCATGAGGTGTGGATGGGATCTGGTATAAAGTATCAAAGACCCAGAACAAAAATCCTATCAGTGTGAATGGGGGGGAGCCCGGAGTGGAGACGCAAAGTCCCCCTATATAAAATTGAACATCCCCTTACAGAAGGATCACAAGGAAGAGACGAGCCATCCAGGGTGCGGTATAGCACTGATGATACATACAACTGTCCACTAATTCTTTAATGCTTCCTGCCCCCCACTATCATGACCTCAATTCTACCTTACAAATCAGCTAGACCAGAGCATGTATACACTGGTATGGATAAGAGCTTTCAACACAGGGAATCCAGGACAAATAAACCCCTCAAAACCAATAATGAGAATAGAGATATCAGAAGGGAAGGCGAAGGTTGAGGGAGAAAGGGGAAACCAATCACAATGATCTCCATATAACCCCTTCCCAGGGGGATGGACCACAGAACCATGGGTGAAGGGAGATACCGGTCAGTGTAAGACATGAAGGGGGGAAAAAAGGATAAATTATCAAGGGTTCATGAGGGAAGGAGGGTAGTGGAGGGGGAAATAAGGAGCTGATATGGAGGGCTCAGGTAGAAAGAAAATGTTTTGAAAATGGTAACTGACAGCAACAGATGTACAAATGTGCCTGACTCAATGGATATATGGATTGTGATAAGAGCTGTAAGAGCCCCCAATAAAATTATTTTTTTTCATGTAGGTAACATTTAAATGATATTGTGTATATTGTAAGACTCACATTTTGATATTGTTATCCATTTCACCAGGTGATTCCAAGCTCTTGTAATAAGTAGGTAACACTTAATGATATTGTATGTATTTTAAGGCTCACATTTTGATATTGTTATCCATTTCACCAGGTGATTCCAAGCTCTTCCGACCCAGAAGACCCAGATCTAGCAGCGATGCCCTGTCTGCTTCTTTTAATGGAGAAATGTTGGGAAACCGCTGTAATTCTTATGATAATCTGCCCCATGACAGTGAAAGTGAGGAGGAAGTAGGGCGGCTCCACATTCCAGCACTTATATCTCCTCATTCAGCTGAGGATGTTGACTTGAGTCCACCAGACATTGGAGTGGCCAGCCTGGACTTTGATCCAATGTCATTTCAATGTAGTCCTCCCAAAACTGAAACAGAATGTCTGGAAAGTGGTGCTTCCTTTTTAGATTCATTAGAACACTCCAAGGATAAACCAAGTACCAATAAAAAAGAAGCAGAGGGAAGTGGTAGCCAGTCTCAGACTCCAGGAAGCACTGCAAGTTCTGAACCTGTCTCTCCTCTCCAGGAGAAACTGAGTCCATTCTTCACCCTGGACTTGAGCCCAAGTGAAGAAACATCCTCTAAACCATCCTCATTCACTGAAAAGGTTGTCTATGCTTTTTCTCCAAAGATAGGACGGAAACTAAGCAAGTCACCTTCTATGAACATATCTGAGCCCATTTCAGTGACTCTGCCCCCTCGGATATCAGAAGTCCTTGGTGCAGTCACGGAATCTGCGGCTCAGAACACATCTTCTGCAACCCGGAACAAAAACGTGGAAGAAATAGATGTCACAGATAGATCCCCTACCCAGGTAGTAATGATGAGAAAAAGTGAGCAAGAAGCCCAAGAAGATTGTGAACCTGAAGTCCAGGCCATTGACCAGGTGGCTCTGGAAGAGATGGCCTTGCCAGAGAGAGAGGAGCAGGCCATCCTGAGCAGTCAGAGTAAGGCTGTACCTGCTGGACAGGCACAGACAGGTACTGTGTGTTTTCCTCCATTCTTTCTTTAAGTTGAGAGGGGCCTTCAATCCTGTGTGCCACCTGTGCCTTTTTAAGAGAGGAATGTGCTCTGCAGAGCTATCCTGTAATCCAAGAGAATGCTTTTCTGGGTGGTGCTGATGGCTCAAAGCCCTAAATTAAAAGCAATCAAACAAAAATTCCCCAATGGGCTGATGGCCCTACTTCAAAACTTCATAAACTCCCTTTACCTCTCTGGACAGTCAGAATTCATGGAAAACTTTTGCACAACTTCATAGCTCTTGATTCTGTGTTCTCTTCTAATAAAGTATCTGTATGATAGCCTAACAAGTTAACAAACCAGCCTACACTATCAAATGTAAGAAAATATTCTTGTAACAATCTGCAAGCACTTGAAGCTTGTTTTCTAATCAGTCTTTTCTGAGCCAGATAAGGGATCTGCTGCAACCCCACCCCCACCCCCATCCCCAATCTCTAGCAATTCAAGAGGAAACTGAAATCTCTAAATGCTTTGTTTTAGTTTTCCTTCTGAACCAGATGTGTTTTTTACAGCATTTGCATGTGGGATAGAAGATCATGGATTGCCGTTTTGAAATATGGAAAGCATCTATTTTTTTAATGATCAATTGGGGAATGTTTGGCTTTCCATATAGGATTACATAAGCTACCTTTTCACTCTCATTTTTTTTCCCAATTTCCCACTAGGAGCAGTTACCCATGACCCCCCTCAGGATTCCGTTCCTGTCAGTTCAGTCTCTCTTATCCCACCACCTCCGCCTCCGAAAAACGTTGCCCGCATGTTGGCGCTAGCCCTAGCTGAGTCTGCACAGCAAGCTTCAACTCAGTCATTGAAGAGACCAGGGAATTCTCAGGCTGGTTATGCAAATTATGGAGACATAACAGTGGCTACAGCTGAAGATAAACTGCCCAGTTCCTACTCTAATGTTACCCTAGATAAGGCCTATAACCAAACAGATATGCCAGTAGAGCAGTTCCAGCTCCAGAACAGTGCATCTGGGAACTGTGGGCAGCATGTACCAGACCCAGCAGCTACTGAGTATCCTACCCATTCCAGTGCAACTGAATCTGGGGAGCAACTTCATAAAGCAGACTCCCCAGGGAATCAGCCACATCAAACCTGTTTACCTGGGGACCTGGAACAGGCCCGAATCCCTGTAGTTCCCGTCACAGACTCAGAGAGATCTAATGATCATATGCATTTCCCTGAAGACCAGTCTGGGAAGATCAGCATGCCAACCGTGTCCTTTGTGGACCAGGACCTTTCTCGCCTCCATTTCTACAGTGGGGAACAACCTCCCCTTCATCTTGGTGCAAGGGTGGATAGGCCCCACCACACTTCAGAACCTGGAGACAAATCTTCCAATCCTTCTAATTTGCCTAGGGACAAAATCTACCCTCCATCTGGGCCCCCTGAAGAAAATACCAGTACAACCACCCTGGCTTACATGACAGCCATTCCTGCAACAGCTGACGTCAACACCCAGGAAGCCAGCTGGACTGTGGTCGAGCCGCCTCCTGCAGCCACTGCGTTTGCTGTTGCTACCCTCCAGCGCGCTCACAGAACTAGTCGTCCCCTGCCCCCACCTCCTTCCGAGAGGTCCACAGAGCAGCCACTAACCGTGGGACAGGTACAAGCAGCAGCCAATACTGGATTAAATAACTCCCACAAGGTAAGAAAGGGCAACAATCAAGGAGTATGAAATAAACTTTTTCCCGAGGTATGCAGGATATATTGGGTACAGCATTTGCTTGTAGGTCCTGCGCAGTCTCCCTGAAACATTTCCCATTTGAGGCTGGAATCTAGCTTGATGTTGGTTTCTCTTTGAGAAAGGAGCAGTTACTTATTGACTACAGTTTAACTATGCTGGCTACCTTTTCTTCATCAAGGGTCCAGATCATTTTTTCATAATGATACAGAGATGATGATCAGATGAGCCAAATCAGACTGTAGGTACCTGGAGTTGCAGGAGTTGCTTTTGAACTCCATTACTGGCTCACTGTAACTTTGGGCAAGTCACTGAAACATCTCTGCTGGTCGTTCCCATCCACACAGTGAAAGTATATTTCACTCTTGAGACATTTGTAAGACTGCCTTGCAGACACTTTAAATGCTTATGAGATGACAGTGTTTTAGGACTTTTCATTATTTTCTCAACAGTAATCAGCAGATTGTTTCTTAGTCAGTTGTCTGTTTTGAGAAGAAAATGAATATTGCTTGGAGAATACTAAGCTCTCTTCTTAATTTTCTCTTTTAAAAAAAGCCACAGAGTTCTTAAAGTCAACTTGAATTAAAAGGACTTAAAATTCCTGTCCTTAGTAGAACCAGCCATTTCTTACAAGCATTTCTCATGGAGAGCATATTTGCAGTATTGCTGTGAAATAATTTATCCTCTACTGCAGAGATTAAGATAGAGTCAGGCTGGCGAGAGACAGCAACTTCTGATCTGATTGCCAGCTTAGATGAGTTACTTTGCGGCCTTCCCTGTACTCTGAGGCTCACTGTGTGCAACCATCATTCACTTCAAAAATCTCTCAAACTCGAATCAACTATTTATCTAAATGTTTTAGGTGTTGAGACTGACCTAGACGGCTTGATTGGGTAGCTAGATATATAAACTTAGAATATTTTGGGGGCATATTACTTTTCTAAACATACACTAAGATAATGTCCTTGGGGCATCTCACGTGTAAAACCTTTTATAAATTAGAAAACGGGACTGTTCTCCAAACATGGCAATGGATGTTTGGTATACCAGATAGCAACCTAGGACATCCTTTACTGGTGTGGAGCAGGCAGTTTCTTGTCCTTCCGGTATGACTACATAGCTTGGGGAAATTAAAGCTGCTTCCCAAATGTCCTCAGCAAAATGAGCTACAAATTTAATAACATTTGATTCCATAGAGAGGAGCTTGTACAACGAAAAGGCCCATTCTTTTGTTATCTTTCACTAGGTTCCCGGAGTAGTTCCAGCTCCAGAGAAACCACCGGAGCCTAGAATGATCGAAGAGCCTTCTTTTGTCTTTGTCAGCGATGGCAGTGCCACTGTTCAGTGTAGCCTCTCTGCAACCACGGTCTACCCAGGCCTTCCTGAAAGAGCCCGGGCCCCCATGCTGCACCTACGCACTGAATCGGTTCCTGTGCGCCCTTCCTGTGGTTTCACTGCTCCTGTCCCTCCTACCAGGACCATGGAGAGTAAGATTGCTGCTGCCATCCATGCCAGCAGTGCAGATGCATCCAACACTTCAAATTATCACTCCTTTATCACTGCTTCTTCAGCCTCTGTGGACGATGGTTTGCCTGTACAGCCTCCCATCCCACAACTTAAGCATGCTTCTCAAAAAACACCTTATTCCTCCTTTGCCAGGCCTGATGTCACTTCTGAGCCCTTTGGTCAAGAAAACTATTTGCATTTCAGCATGACTCCAAACTGCCAGTTCCGCCCCCAGAGTGTACCCCCACATCACAATAAATTGGAGCAACACCAAGCATACGGTTCTAGATCAGAGCCACCAGCCTCCGTGGGGCCTCGCTACAACACTTACGTGGCCCCAGGAAGAAATTCATCTGGACATCATGCTAAGCCGTGCAACAGGGTTGAATATATGTCCTCTATGAGCTCATCTGTTAGGAATGCTTGTTGCCCTGAAGATATTCCATCTTACCCTACCATCCGGAGGGTGCAGTCTCTCCATGCACCTCCATCTTCCATGATTCGCTCCGTTCCCATTTCAAGGACAGAAGTCCCCCCAGATGATGAACCAGCTTACTGCCCAAGACCCCTGTACCAATATAAGCCATATCAGTCCTCCCAGGCGCGCTCAGATTATCACGTAACTCAGCTTCAGCCTTACTTTGAAAATGGCCGGGTTCACTACCGGTACAGCCCATATTCCAGTTCTAGTTCCTATTACAGTCCAGATGGAGCCCTGTGTGATGTGGATGCCTATGGCACTGTACAGCTGAGGCCTCTTCACCGCCTACCCAATCGAGATTTTGCCTTCTATCATTCTAGACTACAAGGGAAGAATATGTACAGTTATCCTGGCTTGCCTCCGAGACCAAGGGCCAACGTAATTGGCTATTTCCCTGGAAATGACCACAATGCAGTCAACATGCCTCCAGCAACTGACATAAAGCACACTTACACCTCATGGGATCTTGAAGACATGGACAAACACCGCATGCAGTCCATCTGGAGAGAGAGCCGCGCTCGGCAGAAGGTGCAAGGGCCTGTTATGTCCCAGTACGATAACCTGACGCCAGCTGTGCAAGATGACGTGGGTGGGATCTACGTCATTCACCTTCGCAGTAAATCGGATCCTGGGAAAACTGGACTTCTCTCAGTGGCAGAGGGAAAGGAAGGGCGATGCCCAACCAAAGCCATGAGTCCTGAGGGAGAGGACCGCTTCTATAGGAAGCATCCAGAGCCAGAGTTAGAAAGAGCCCACCACCATGGAGGATATGGCAATGGGCAGCCAGAGAAACCCTCCCTCCCGCAAAAGCAAAGCAGCCTTCGGAACAGAAAGATTCATGACATGGGTTGTAGTCTCCCTGAGCATAGAGCACACCAGGACACAAGCCATAGGCAATTATGTGAGTCAAAAAATGGTCCACCTTATCCCCAGGGAGCTGGCCACTTAGATTATGGGTCCAAAGGAATTCCAGACACTTCTGAGCCAGTCAGCTACCATAACTCTGGAGGGAAATACATTATATCAGGGCAGGAGTCTTTAAGACTAAACCACAAAGAGGTAAGGCTTTCCAAAGAGCTAGAGCGGCCCAGGGCTAGGCAGCCTCCTGCCCCAGAGAAACACTCTAGAGACTGCTACAAGGAAGAAGAGCACCTCATGCAGTCCGCAGTCCCACCTCCTAAGCCAGAGAGGAGTCATAGCCTGAAACTCCACCATACGCCGAACGTGGAGCGGGACCCTGGCATGCTGTACCAGTACCAGATGCCCGGCAAGCACCAGAGCAGCACAACCGTCGTGTCCCAGTACGACAACTTAGAGGACTACCACTCCCTGCCACAGCACTCACGAGCAGTGTTTGGTGGAGGAGGAGGAGGAGGAGGTATGGGGACATACGTACCCTCAGGCTTTTCCCACTCACAGAACAGGACATATGCCACAGCTTTGGGCCAAGGGGCTTTCCTCCCGACAGAGCTGTCCCTGCAGCACCCTGAGACCCAGATCCATGCAGAATGAGCCTGGAGCAATAGAGATGAAGCAGCCTCTGCTGGGCAGTGGACTGCTCTATTTTTTTTTCAATAACCAAAAAGATTAAAAACAAATGCCCAACTACATTTAAAAAATTCTAATAAAAATAAATCGCCATCATACCCCTGACCTGCTTCATCACCTCTTCCATCTGTAGACTGTCATTTTTGTCATTTAAAGAAATCTAAGTGATTGTAAAAGCACCGTGTTGAAAATCTAGTAAAGGAATTTGTCATGGACCACACTTGCCATATAGGGATAATTTGCAAGAGTCTGAGGACTGCCTCTAACCGAATTTGAACTTGTTTCTTCTTAGAATTTGCTATGTAGCTCTGAGCGGTTTACATCTATTTCCTGGTAGACTTTTGCATTTATTGTTCTGTTCCCCTTACTTGCTGCAGTAGCCACGCAACTTTCCCTGGTAGACATCCAGTTTTTCCTCCGTTATCCCTTGTCTTCCAAAGAGGCTTCTCTGTTACATTAGAATGGCGACTTCCCTGACCCTTAAGATAAGCCAATTGAAAATTTAGCCACATTGTAATTTAAAAAAAGAAAACATTATGGCTTTAAACATTTAATAAGGAAAGTGGCTTTGAGAATCCCTTGCAATGTCAGACTATTTAGATCCAGTCTGAACCATGCTGTTTACATCCACTCATGTTCCTCCTTCTAGATTGATATCCAAGTTCAGATCACTGTTGATGGGAGTTATAAAGGAACTTCTTAGGTGGGAAAAAGTTCTTGCTCTCAGTAAACTTAGCACCCAAAACTATATGTAATGTGTTTCTTGCCTGCAGGGGTCTTTTGTTGGCTTGTTTTTCTCCCTATAGTATCTGGTAAGTTGAAATCCTTGTAAAATATATGACCCCATTTGTTCTCCTAAAGTAATTCATTTTCATAAGGAAAACAAAACATCCAGCAGCATGGTTTGACTGGACCAATAATTATCATTATTACAAATTTACATGTCAACTTGTTTCTAAACCATAGTACAAGTTCCCTGCAAATTCTCAAAGTAACTACTAATCATCTCTTAGTAATCCGTGTTACTACAATAACCACTTAGCACACAGCACCATTTCATCAGTTGGAATTCCAGGCAGTTTACCTTTAAGCGCTCAGTGATTACATGTTGGTCATTCCCCTCTGTACTTGTGTGATCAGTTTCATTGTTATTGCCACTGACCACCAGCATTTCAGGTACAGCTCTGTATAGCTCTGTAGACATGTTAAACATGTTTAATACCCAGGACTTTCTTTTGAAAGTTTCATACCTTATTACAGTAGTACAAAACACCTCCTACCCCAACTTCATTCTTAATTCACCCCATCACCTATATGCCAGGTTAGCAATACAGTCCTATATTGACAAAATGAGTTTAGATTGTCGTTGCATTCCGTAAGTCTTAATAATGCTTGAGTTTTATCTATAACCAGATTTTAAGTGCTCCGTTTGTAGAAGACACTAGGAAAAAGTCCATTCCATTTACTGGATGATAGCTGCTCTGGCTTTATTAAACTTGGAATTAACTTTTATTTAGAGCAAAGGAGGAAATCTTTTAAGAGGCTAAAATCATGCTGCTATTATTGCTGTGAAATTATATAAAGATTAGGATTCATGCCAGTTCCTTTTTTATTAAAAAAAATCAAATGATTGTATTTTAAGGGTTTATATTTAGAAAAAGTTTAAAAATGATACATTTCTATGTGGAAATATCCTATAAGGTTTTCTTTTGTTGTCCCAGAATTAGTTGGGGGGATTCAATAAGGATTGTAGTAGATACTTTGAAACACTAATATGAAAAGACCTGTTAAGCGTAGCGTCTACATTAGTAAAGTGCAGACCCAGCTAGTCTAGACCCAGAATGTTGAGGATCGTTCCATTTGGCATGCCAACACACTGGGTGCTGTATTCAGGAGTTTGATCTTTGGTGAATATGCAGGACTCTTTTTCACCTAACCATCTCTTTTTGTCCGATAATCCCCTCTGAAATCACACCAGCCTTGTAAGTACGCACCAGCAGCTTGGAGATTAGGAAGGCCTGGTGGGCCTTGGCAACAGAGAGCCCGTAGGAAGTGGCTGAAAAAGTCCTTTCCAGTTTTAATATCTGTGGATTTGTTATCATGCATTGTTTACTCCTGAAACTAAACTCTTCATTTATAAATACGAATGTTAATGCCTCAGAGCAATTTCTTACTAATAATGGGTTTAGAAATATTGGTAAATATTTTGAATACAGAGTAGCAACTGAAATTACTGGTATAAATGTGAAACACAAACTCCAGATAAAACCTAGAGCTGTTTCATTAACTGTATGTAGATATAGCCTTAACTTTGGAGTCATGTATTTGAAGGACTTTGCCTATATCTTTCCCTTCCTAATATTGTGGGGTAGAAATTGGATGGCAAATCACTGTGAGCTGGTTACCTCAGCATAGTTCACCTTGTGTGTGACGTCACAAATACAGTAACTAAATGATGACATGGAGGATTCTGATCAAGAATTAGACCCAAAATGTAATTCCCTTGATATTTTTTCATAGCCATGTCTCTAGAAGTTATCGTGTGCCGTTAACCCCGCCCCCTGGAGTTCTGATCCCACACTTGGTTTTATTGACGGATTCCTTGGATGTCAGGTTAGAGACTTTGCTAACAACCCCAGAAGTGCTATTTTCAAATGTTTAATTTCCTCCACGCCTTATGGCTAGTTAGGGTTAGTCTCCTTTTAAACATGCAAGGCTGCGGGATAGCTTGAGGGTAGGGCCTTCACATGTCTTAAGAAAGACAAAGCTTTTTTTTTTTTTAATTAGAGTCAGATTGGAAAAAACTAGACTCATTTCATAAAGAGGAGAGGCCCTTAATGTGAGTGGGAATACAGGAGGAGGATGTGCAGTTAAAGTAGCAATAGATGCATACAGTGTAAATTGGAAATGTGCCCCTTTATTTGCGGTACCTGCAGAGTCCATTTGTGTATTCCCATGTCAGTCACCTATCTGGGATGTTGGCAAAGTATCGCCTAAGCAGAATGTATAATGAAAGCAAAAGGATGTCAGAAAGTTATTTTGAAATGGTTAGAGGCATGTGATTTTCCGTTTTGTGTGTTACAGACACGTCAGGAACGGTGTGTCGTAACTGAATGCAAGAATGTCGGTGTGCACAGAGGGTCCCTTTTCCCTTTACCTGATTAGTACTGTTAATGTTCAAAGAGTAAACAGTGTTTGTTTTAGAGTTTAGATCCTGAGATAGCAAAACCAGGTTCTTTTTCAGCCATGACTTGCATGAGAGAAGCACCCTAGAAAGTCTTACATCATATCTCTGCGTTCTTTTAATTTATATAGTTTTATTATGTTTTAATATTTTTGTGAACTGGTGTAAATTGTTAATGCACATAAGCTTGTGTATTTTTGTAAATAATTTTGTGATTTATTTCTTGCCCCATATGTAAATATTTAGTCTCTTTTTTCCCCCACAAAAACTTATTTGAAGCTGACTTGTGGATTTGGGGGTTTATTTCTTTGTTTTGGTTGGGGAGGGGGAGGGGGATTTTGTACTCCAGTGATCCAGATGGAGATTCTTGTGGTTTAACGCAAATGTTCCACTGAAAGCAATTCAAATATCAACAAGTATTTCAGGTTAAAACAGACTTCTTTGTGTATGTGTTTCCTTTTTGACTTAATATGAATTATAACATAGTAGATGGGAGTAATTGACCTAGGTCATTGGACCAAAAGCCAGTTTTCATATATGACACCTCTTATGCCAAATGGTGAGTTGAGAAAAGTTGTTAAATGTGTCCTGTTTCTATCTCTCTGCCACGGGTATGCTGCCTGGCCACATCTCCAGGTTAAACATGAATATCATTAAAATTACCAAAACTCCTTTGTCTACTGGAAAGTAAGCAGACATGCTACATCCATGCCTGTATTAAATCTTTGCTGTTATCAGTTTCTTATTTAAAGATCATCACAAGGCATTTGTGGCATTTCATGTTTATCTTCGGGTGAAATGAAGGGGGAAAATTACTCTCCTGCATTTGGTCCTTTAGTAAACCGTCTTGTGCCAAATATCAGATAACAGGCAATATTCCAGTGAGATGGGTTGTTAAAGATCTGAACCAAATGTTACAAGCAACCAAACTATCCAACAGTAGGTCCAGAGCTTATTCTTGTGCCAGTTATCAAAAAATAGTCCAAAGTCAACTAGGATTTTAAACAACAAAACAAACTTCAATATTGAGAGCTTGTTTGGAGGTTCTAGCAGGGGAGCACAGCTAACCCTTGACCAAAGGATGGCCCTATCAGGGAGGGTCATCCTCTTCAACTGAGGGCACAGCTTCAGGAGAGATGCACATGGAGCCATGAGGGAGGAAGGGGACACCCGCCTGGCCAGCCAGATCATCCGAATCAACCTTAGTGATCAATGGGGTGACATGTCACAGCTATTTCACCCTCCTATCCATAAACTTCAGTATTGAGCTATTGAAATAGGAATTTTCCCACTGGAAATCACACATTACAAGTAATTTCTCATGTTAAATTATTGGGATTTTCTGTTAGTAATACAGTTGTTATACCGATGAAACTGGAGAGCCAGTCACCTTTGTACACCTGCATACCACACTCCAGACGGAGCAAAAATAGAACATCTGTTTTCAGTACACTCCCAAATCCGAGTATGACAATTCAGCTCAAATGGGATTAAAGAAAAGACATGGATGACATTTTCACTGGGTCTAACACTGGATTTTCTGGGGCTCATATGCCAAGTGTTTCTTTTTTTTTTTTTGCCAAGTGTTTCATCACCAAGTTTCCCCCATGCTGATGAAAATACACTACCTATCAAAGTATGTGTTCATCCTTAAGGAGTCCATGCCAAACTCATTGGTAGAGTTTAAGCTGTAGTCATTTGTGGTTTTATAGGAAAAGGTGGGTTTTAAAATCATCATGATTTCCCTGGTACAACAAATCTGAGTTTCTGGAAGCCTGCAGAAGTGGGACATTTCACATGGTGATGCTTTCCATGTCATTGAGAGTAATGCATAGAAAGCAAAATTAAGTTCAATCTTTATTTTACATAGTTTTATTAAAATATTTGGAGAATATACTTTAAACCAAAAATTTTGCTGCCACTATACTTAAAGGTCCATGATTTATGTCTTTGAATTACTAATGAGCTGTAATATAGTTCTATTCTCACAGGCACATTGAAATTAAAGGAGTATTTTCTTCTCAACCAAATGGCCTAATATCCCTGGCCTCTTATGCTTTGTATATGTCTGTCTTTGCTAGTTTTTCTATATCCCTCTTTGCTTCCTGCGGGCCACTTTTTGCTGTTGTCTATCAACTACCTGTAAACATTCTTCCTCACTTTGCTTGTGTTTCTAATATGTCTTGAAAGTCATGAGCAAGCTGCCCAGCAAAAGAAGTTCTGAGTGAGGCCCTGAAAGGTTCTCCTGAATTGTATCAATAAATGATTAGGAAATTACCTACTCATAATACAATCAACTAATTCTCTACTAGTCACCGTGAGGGCAAGTCAAAAAGTATTGCTACCAATGTTCCAGTCATAAATGGTTCTATTTAAAAAAGCACATTCAAACATTGCTTTGAGGTCATTGTTTTCAGCTTGTTTGAGTGTATTCAAAAGAAAAAACTTTAAGGAAGTAATTGTATCGGGGGCTGGTACAACTCCTCCCAATCCATCCATTGTGTTAAGCACATTTGTACATTTGTTGGCATCATCCTCAAAACATTTTCTTTCTATTTGAGCCCTAGGTATCTGCTCCTCATTTCCCCCCTCCCTCCCTCAAGAACCCTTGATAATTTATAAATTATTATTTTTCCATGTCTTACACTGTCCAATATCTCCCTTTACCCACAGAAAACACACTTGTGCAATGGGAAAAATGATTTTGTGGTTGGGGGTAATAGCAATTTTAAACAAAACCAAATGTGTACATCTTCATAAAGCTTGATGCTTTGTAGCAAGCTTTTGACAGTGCTGCCACACATCAGAGACAGTTCTTAGATGGATAACGTGTTTTAAGGAAGTTCAGGAAGATTTCAAAGATGGGCCAAGACAGGGAAGACCATCAACTTTGATGAATGAAGAAACTGCCTTAAGTCTAGAAGCTGTTGGAAGAAGATTATAGAATTTCCATTGATGCAATATCTATTAAAGTTGGGTTCTCATATGGTTTGGCATTTTGAGTTTTAAGCAAACACTTGGTCTCAGCAAGTTTTCAACTAAATGAATGTTCAAAGCATTATGCAGAGATCACCTAGCTCTGAACTCATCTTTCCCTCAGTCCTTTAAGCGAGATCAAAGCTACAAAGGGTTATGGAATGAATCCTAAGTAAGGATGGATCTTGGGTTTGCCAATATGGTGCAGGGAACTTCCGAGGGAATCTGCTAGGCTGGTTCAATTCGAGGCAAAGAAATAAGCTCAGAAGATCATGGGGACTGTTTTGGGGGGAACCCAAAGGGGAAATCTTGATTGACTTCCTCAAAGGACACAGGACAATCACAGGGCTTTTTTATTATTAGAAAGAAACAAAATTGAGAACTGCAAGATTTGTAGAACAGTAGAATAGAGAACACAGAAATCTATCCTACAAATAACTGGGCCACGATACATTAAATGGGGGAAAAGAGCCTCTTCGAAAATTCATTAAGTGAGGAAAAGAGCCTCTTCAAAAATTCATGCTGACAAAATTTGATTTCCATTCGCAGAAAAATGTAACAAGACTCATACTTCCCTCCATATAAAAAAATGAATTCAAGGTAGACTGAAAAACCTACATATAAACTCTAGACCTTTTAAGATCATTAATGAGAAAATAGAGACAACTTAAGGACGTTAATACAAGGCGTAAACACTATCAAACAATGAAAAACCAGAAGATAATCAATTATTGGTATCTTCTAAAAGATGGTGTTCATCAAGAGTAAAAAGCCACAGACCCAGGGTGGGGGCGGGTGGGTGGGGGCAGGGGAGCTGGTTAGTAACTGCATCAGACAAGGAACTAATCTCTAGGATTTATAGAATACTGAAACACTTCAACAACAAAAAATTGAATAATAATAGAATTGGCAGAGGACATGAACAGACAATTCAAAGAAGATATCCATGTTGCCTGCGTGGATGAAGAAGTCCTCACACTAACCTTTTGAGAGATGCAAATCAAAACAATATCAGCATTGATAGAAAAGTTTTTTAAAATGCTGGCGATGGTGAGGAGAGATTGGAACACACACTACTGGTGGGGCTGTAAAAATGTGGTCATTTTGGAAAGTGGTATGTCACTTCCTCAAACAATGGAATAGAAGTAGTACTGTATGGCCCACCGATCCCTTTGCTGGGCATACACCGTAAAGAAGTAAGAGCATTAACAGGCATATATGCACACTCACGTTCATTGCAGCCTGCTCTTAATAACAAGAAGATTGAAGCAACCTAAATGCTCAAGAAAAATGATGAAACTGAAGCACCTCAGGGCGTAGATGGACTTGGAGGAAAGTATGCTGAGGAAACCTAGTCTATCACAAAAGGACAAATATTGTATGAAACCACTGTTGTCAAGGAAAACCCAAAACAACGGTTTTCGTACCAAAAGACGACTTTGATGGTTACCTGGAGTAGTAACCAAGAGATAAGCAGTTCGAAACTGCTGGCTGTCCCACAGGAGAAAGCTATGCTTTCTACTCCCTTGAAGAGTTGCCATCTCAGAAACCCCCAAAGACCATTCTACTGTGCCCTGTAGTGCCCCCATGAGTCAGAATTGACTGGGTGGCAGTGAGCTTCGTTAGTTTTGGTGGGGTGGGAGGGAAAGGGGAAGCGGGTGTTAACTTGGGTGAAGGGGAAGATAGTATTCTATAAGATGGTGAAGAGAAAGGGAGCCAAGACAAGCTATTGAGAGATTTGGTAAGTAAATTGTCCAACCTGCTGGCCCTAACCTTGCCCCTTCAGACTTCTTTTTGTACCCCAAATTTAACATTTCAAAGGACCACAACTAGAGTCCCTCCTGAATGCCAAAACTGCTGTTTTGACTTGGTGTAAACTAAGAGCACAGATTTAGTTGAAGAAGGGTTATAGAGATAAAAACACTGCCTTCAGCAATGTATAGACTTAGATGGTGCATATGTCAAGAAACAATAGCTTCACATTTTTATGTTTTTTTTGTTTAGTATAAATTTATATTCTTTTGCAACAATACTTTTTTATTTACCCTTCTATACAATCTTTTTTTCTATTCAAAAGGTCTAATGTTCTTTTCTTCAAGCAAATTGATTGGATAGCAGGTTGTAGAAAATGAGGTATAATTATATAAGGTCCTTAGAAAGGAGAATGAAACAAAGGCTAAGAGTTCTCCCTGCATCCTGTATTATGAGTCTTCTATAGGATTATGCCTGCTAATAATTTCAAACTATTTCTCCTCAAAGACGAATGGGAGCCCATAGAAGACATTTAGCAGCTACAGTAAACTCCAGTGGGAAGAGAGGAAAGGACATTGTGAAAACATACAGACTACCACTGAGTTAGTTAATTACCCAAGGACTTTTTTAATTTCCTAAAGCCATTCTGAAAAGGGTCCTGACATTTGTTGGCTCAGCTCTGTGTTCGAACTGAGTAAGTTCTATGAC